CCTGATTTCTGTGTTAACATAGCATCAGGTTAACAGAAGTAAACGACTTTACACTACACAAAAAGTTGAATTTTCTATGCAAAATAATGCCTGCACTTGAAAGTCTAAAACCAATATCAACAACGTACTCTTAATCAACGAGGTGAGTTTAATTGTATTCCGCTACATGTGACAACAGCCTGGCTTAGAACGGTCGAATTCTCGAATGTATCACATTAGATGGATCCTGAACCGTGGAACAGTGGGATGGACGTTTAGAAATTTCATATTTTCTTTTTGGCCGGCCTTTGCATCCCAAAATGCAATATATTTTTTGGTGATGCAAAACAACATCAAGCATAGATAAAGATAGTAAAGCAATTGCTTAGAAATAAGTAGAATTCATCAAGCAGAAAAATAAACAGTAAACTACTCCTGCCCTAAAAAAGCTGCTCCTTTTGTTAGTTACTCTACAAAGAAAGTATCAGCTCCTTACACCCTTCTCGTTAATCCATAACACAAGCAAACAACGACAGATTGTACTTAACAATGGTCCTCCGACTATATTGATTTTCCAAAATTAATTCAATTGTGCGTTTTGGTACACCCCCACCTCAAAAAATGTAAAATAAAATAAAAATAAATTTTGAGTTTAATATTTGAGTTATAAATCAAAAATTTTGAACTCAAGCTCAAATGCATATCTGAAACGTGTTTGAGTTAAACAACCTAAAAGGCATTTCCTGCTCAACAGCCAAATGATCACATCTTAACAAATAAAAGAATTTGGGTGGATCACATCTTAACTAAAACATCCTCATATTTAAAAAAAAAAGAAAAAAAAACATTTAAAACCAAGGGAAAGTATGCAGGATAGTAGCATCATGCGTTTAAAGCAAACCTATAAAAATAGACAGTAGTAGTCCGTAAATAAAAGATCAGAGTAGCCATTGTTCATTTTTACGCAAAAAAAACATATATATACAAACCAAGAAATGAACCACCCTATTATATAATCTGGTGTACGTTGCCCTATTTCTTACCTGGTTTTTCACATTGATAAATGATCATAGCTGAAGATAAGAAAGAAAAGGGTTGTCTGTAAAAGCAGTAGATAGATTAGCAATAGAAGTGGGGGAGACGACAGACGATTGGATCAAGGATGAATATTTTGATCCAAGTATAGCTCTAATCTTCTTAACTCTAAAGTCTTATGTTTTTAAACTTTTACTTTTTATTTATTTGATTGGCCCTGATTACACTTGTTCCTTAAAAGAAGTCATTAAAGACATCAAAATGACCAAAATTGTTGTTTGCTTGACCTTGATTTAAGATGCTAGAATGCTGGATCTGTGGAAAGAAAGAAATTAACCATTCTTTTGACTTTAAAGAGTTCAATATCTCTGAATGCAAGGTTGTTAGTCAGGTGGAATATCATTCATTGGTTGATTTAAGGGGCTTCTTCTAGACCTAGTTGCACTTCTTCTGCCATTATTGCTGCCCTCTAGGGAGGAAGAAAATTGGCAACTACAAATGTTTAGGAATAATTAACTTCAATTAACATCAAAATTGGCAACTACAATCTGGAAATACGCACACACACAATTAACTTCAATATATATACACGCACACACAATTAGGAGAGATCAATTAACTTCAAAATTGGCAATTAGAACAGTTTAAGCAGCTACTGCTGCTCCACGTTCAATTCCATGGACCACAAAGAGAGCAATTTAGACAGTAGACTACAACAAAAGATTCAAAAACAAATATGCACTGCAGCAATATAACTGGTCAATTTAGACCATGGACCACAAAGAGAGTAATGGTCAATTTACCAGCAATATAACTTCTTGGGGCCCACTGCAGCCTGCTTTATCTGGACTTCCCCCGAGTTCTCTTTTCCTATTTAACATAGAGCTTAAGACTAGATTCAAAAACAAATATGCACAAGGTAAATGCGGGAGTTTTCACCTGATATGTTAGCTTCTATCTCCAACTCAATGCGCTGTTCTTGGTTAATCTTTTCCAGAACAGGAAGAAGTGAATGGATAAGATAATAAAGCAGTCGATTTTTGTTAACCCTTTTCTTGTCCCTATAAAATTCCTGATAAGATCATCAATATCAATATCTACAATCTAGAAATAGATAATTGCATAACACAATCTGGACGAATAGGACTGGAAATAGATACCTGCTGTTCGCCGGAGGGTCGATGTTCTGGAAATAGATACCAGTCGCCGGAGGGTCGACGTGCTTGCACTGCTGAAAGGTCGACGTTCGAGAGCAAGCCTTAGGAGCGTGAGACTGTGAGAGAATAGGTCTAAGCGTGAGTAAGAGATTCCAAAACCATTAGGAGGCGTTTGGTTCAGGTAACATAATCAAGGGAATGTGACATTTCAAAGCTCACATTCCTATGTTTGGTTCACATTATCTCAACGAATCTAACATTTTTTAGGAATATCACATTCCCTCCACATAAGATTTTGAAGGGAATCAATTTCTAAGGTTATGTAAGATAACCTTGGTTATGTTAGTTTATTACACACACACACACACACACACACACACACACACACACACACACACACACACACACACACACACACACACACACACATATATATATATATATATATATATATAACTATTTTTGTAATTATATATTTTTTATTTTTATTATGTTAGGTTAGCATATAAAATAATTTTATTTCTCAAGTTCAATATTTTAGTTAATATTTTAAAATCATGTAATTATATATGATACCGTTATCTTATTTATTTATTTTAATTTTAAATTTATTAAAATATATGAAAATATGTTAAGGATATTATAGTGTGTGAATAAAAGATAACCCTAAACCAAACATGATTATATTACATATCCCAATTTTAACCAAACACAGGAATCTAACATTCCCAGTAATCTAACATTCCCAGCAATCTAATATTCCCTAAGGTAATCTGACATTCCGTGAACCAAACGACCCCTTAGGAGTTAGGACTAAACTTTATGAAACCCAGCGACGGATAATAATTTCCCTCGCTATATTTTATTAAAAATAAGGTCTTATATTTACAAGTCTCCTACTCCTAACGACGGATTAACAAATCCGTCGCTAAGAACTCTTTAAAAAAAATTAGTTTAAAACTTTAACGATGGACATAACAGTCCGTCGCTAAGGACATATTCCGAAAAACCATGTAGGCAACTTAGCGACGAATTTGTCGGTCCGTCGCTAAATAAATGATATCCAAAAACTATATTAGAAAGCTTAGCGACGGATTTAACCATCCGTCGCTAGGATGTCTAAACCCGTACAAATTTTAGCGACGGATACGGATATCCGTCGCTAGACTTGAACTAGGATACATGCCCCTCAAATGATTGGCGACGGATCTTAATTGTTGTCGCTACTCTGTAGCTATTAAAAATAAGAAATTAACCCGCGAAATTTCCGTCGCTAATCTCTCTCTAAGTTTTGCGCCAAAAATTTCCGCTAATAATAGCTACGTATTTAACGAGAATAATTTTCCGTCGCAATACCTGTCGCCAATCTGTCGCTATAGTTCTATTTCACAAAAAAATAAAATCGGTCACTAAGTTGTCGCTATTCCGTCACTAAATTAGCAACGAAATGCATCCGTCGCTAAATCGGTAGCTATTTCCGCGTTTTTTTGTAGTGTGGGGTTGTGGTTGAGTAGAAGAGACTCATCCATCCTTAACCAAGGGTCAAGGATTCGATCCTTGGCTTTGGGTATGGAGCCGCCTTAAATCTCCAAGCCAGTTGTCCCACCCAAAAGAGGTGACTACAATCCAGCAAGGGGATTGGGGATTAGTCACTATGTTCGACGGTAGAAACCCTGGGTATACCAAATATATATATATATATATATATATATATATATATATATATATATATATATATATATATATATATAGGGAAGGGCTCCCGTGCATTTACTGCTTCTCGTGTATAATGAGGTTAAATCTAAGCCCCACGTAGCTCTTGATCGAACGAATCAGATTAATAGCAAAAATTAAGCGCGAATTGCTCATTAAGGGCATTTTTGTCCTTTTGATTATATTAAAATATATATATATATATATATATATATATATATATATATATATATATATATATATATATATATGTTCTTCTTCTTGCCGCGTTTTCAAATTCACCATTGATTCCTAATCTTCTATATTTCCTAATCTCAGACGAATTTACGATCTCTACGGAATTGGCAATAAGATCTATTCTCTCTCTTCGTCGTTCAATATCATATTCGTCAAAATAAACCCTAAACACATCAAAAACGTCAACCGAAGAACAATGGAAGAATTCAATCGAGGTATTACCCAAATTCTATCGCTTTTCTGGAATTAATTTTATCTACATTTGTATTGTTATCATTCTTGTCTTAATTACACGCACATTAAGCATGCAACTTAACCATCGAATTACTGAGTAACTTTAATTAATCCGAGCCTAGATCCTTACGCACGTAGATGATCAGGTAGCCGCATGATAATTTTTAAAAATGCACATATTACTGTTTTCCTTGCACATGTTATCTGTTGAGCACACGCACATTAATGCCTTTCCAGACGCATGTTATGTTACTGGACTCTCTGACGCACGTTAAGTAATGACATAATATTTTAACAAACACTCACGCATATTAACTGTTTAACATGCGCACTTTAACTATTACCCTGACGCACGTTAATTTCTCACTTGCCGCACATACTCTTGTATTTTATAAATCTGCCATATTAACAATGATCTGATTAACTTAACACATATTAAGTGTTCACATTACGCACGTAGGGGCTTGCAACAACACAATCATAACTTCATGCTTATATGTTACAGTTCTCATTGACATTCAATCTACAAACAACCCCTGTTTGAGTCCCAGCAGCAGCAGCAATGGTCATACATTGACCATATCTCCTGGAATGACACAGTATTAGACTCCTCACTGTGAAGACGAAATCAGACCAGCAGTAGACATGATTTTTAAAACATTGGATGCTGGTATTGAATTCTACACTCGTTATGATGCGAAAGTCGGGTTTGACACGAGGTCTAGTTCCGTCGTTACAGCACGTGACGGGACAAAAACTCAAAAGCTAATCCTTTGCAACAGAGAAGGATTTAAGAATACAGGATCTCAACATTGTCAGTCGCAGTCAAGTGCAGATGCAGGGGAAGGTCCTTCCCGTCCAAAGCGGCGAAGGGTTTCAAACAGAACTGGTTGCAGAGCTAGGATTATGTTTAAGTACATTGGAGCAGCTGGGTACCAAGTTACCACTTTTATTGAAAAACATAATCACAACATGTCTTCGGTTCTGGCAAGGCAGTTTCTAAAGGGAAATAGAAACATCTCCAGTGTTCACCAGAAGTTTATACTTGACTGCGCTAAAGCAAATATCGGAGCATCAAAATCTCATGGTTTATACAGTCATATTGTGGGGGATTACTCTGAAGTTGGAGCAACTGTAGTGGACTTTAAAAATGTCAGAAGGGATCTCAGAGCATACATATTGGGAGCTGATGCACAAATACTGGTGCACAATCTTATTAAGAAACAAGAGATGTGCCCTGCATTTGCTTTTGACTACGAGGTTGATGAAGATGAGCAGATGAGCAGACTGCTTTGGGCAGATCCAATGTCAAAAAAGAATTTTGCTGCATTTGGAGATGTTGTCTCTTTTGATGCCACATACTCAACAAATAGGTATATACTATTCTATTCACATTCTTGTGTGCGTTTCATTAATTAATACACATTTAGCATTGCCTGATCTGTTGAGACATGTTAAGATTTACACACGTTCACTATTTTATTGAAAAAGATTTGAAATACAAATAAACGCACATTGTTGTTTTATACCACGCATCTTAAACGCTTCTGTCTCGCATATTAATGCGGAATTTCCAGAATTAGACCTCAATTACATATGCGTGCTATTTTAAAACTTAATGTGCGTTACTCTAATTCTCTAAGTGCGGCAGTTTGACACCTGCATACTGTGATGACGCTTTTTGTCCTGTAGGTACGATCTGGTTTTTACACCATTCACCGGAGTTGATAACCATAAAAAATGTATAAAATTCGGTGCTGGACTACTGTTGAAAGAAGACATTGAGTCTTATGTTTGGCTCTTTGAAAAATTTAAAAAGGCAATGGGTATGGAACCAAGAATAATTGTCACCGATCAAGATCCAGCTATGAAAGTGGCGATTCCAACAGTTTTCAAGCAAGCCAGGCATCGTTATTGCATGTGGCACATCATGTGTAAAGTTGGGGAAAAGGTGGGTCCTACGCTGAATAAGGATGAGGAATTCAGGAACAAACTGAACTCAATCGTTTGGACGTCATCTTTGGAACCTCCTGATTTTGAGAAGCAGTGGAGAGAGCTGATGGAAAAGTACAACTTAGTCGAACACAACTGGTTTAAAACTATGTTTGAGGCTAGAAAGCATTGGATCCCAGCGTATTTTAGAGATGTCTTTATGGGAGGACTACTCAGGACAACTTCTCGTTCCGAAAGTGAGAACTACACGTACAGCCGTTTTACTGGTCCCCAATCAAGCCTAGTTGAATTCATGATGAACTTTGACAGTGCTCTTAGATCACAACGTAACACAAACGCAAAGCTCAACAGTGACAACGAAGGCTACAATCCGGATATGAAGACGCCTCTGGGAATTGAAAAGCACGCTTCAATCGTCTACACCATTACTGTTTTCTATCAAGTTCAGGAAGAAATATGTGCCTCCTGTTTCAAATGTATGGTGTTGAGTGTTAGAGAAAGGACGGTGGAATGTTGCACTATGATATTATGGATGGAAAGAACAAAAGATTTACTGTGGTGCACAATGTAAATGACCATGAGGCCAAATGCAGTTGCAAGATGTTTGAGATGGTTGGACTGTTGTGTCGACACATATTTGTGGTCTTTAGAGACCTTGAAAGGATCCCTCTGAAGTACGTGGTTAATCGGTGGACTAAGGATGCATCTTTAAAATCTACGTTTGAAATAGATGGTGTGATTTACGATCAGAATGGACCAAAGGATGAAAAGAAGATGTTGCTGAACAAAGTGTGGTCTGATATACACTGTTGTATGGATCTGGCAGGATCAAACATGGAGCAATTGACTGCATTTTCCCAAGTGATTGATGAACAGAAACAGCTGCTACTGTCAGGAAAGGAGAAATTGTCCCCTCAGCACAGCAGGAGGACTGTTATAGAATCATATTGTGGATCAACAGAAATTTCAGAGATCAACATACTTCCACCGAAACATGCAAAGAACAAGGGCAGCGGCAAACGTATCAAAAGCAGCAAGGAGTTGGCAATGGAAAAACAAGAGGGCAGGAAGTGCAATTTTTGTGGTGTTAGAGGAGATCACCATGACACCAGGACTTGCCCACTTAACCCTAAAAATAAGGACAAGCAAAAGGGTAAGAAAAAGGCACAGCAGACTATTTTTTCAATGCCTTTAAAGTCGAGAACGAAAATGGATAGCAAATATGAAACACAACTACTTAGTTAACTCATTTCAGAAGGCTTTTTACAGTTGAGATACTTGAATTTAATGTCCAGCTATTACTAGTTTTTGTTTTTATGACTGATTTGTGTTTAACAATCACTGCTAATAGCTTAATGTGCGTGTTATTACTACTTTACCTGCGTGCAGTTAATTCTTAATATGCGTTGATTACATTTTTAAAGTGAGCTACATTAAACCTTAATGTGCGTAGTACAGAAACAGAATATGCGTTGGTTTATGTATAGAAACTTTGATCTGTGGTAAACGTCTTTACATGCGTCGATTACCATTTAACTTGCGCAAAATTAAAGCTTAATATGCGTACAAAGGCAGTATTTAACACTTTCTTTCTATAATATGCGTTTATTTATTAGTTAATAAATAATGCGTTAAAGATAATTCTAATATGCGCGACTAGAAAACTTAAAGTGCGTTTATTTGATTACGAAATAAACATGCGTGTAAATATAAATTTAATTAATTTGCATCGAAATAAATGATTTTTTAAAGCCAAAAGTTTAATGTGCGTCGCGAAACCAATTAAAGTGCGCGAAATATCAATTAAATATGCGATTATTATATATTATTAATAAATCCAACAGTTTAATGTGCGTCGGGAAACAAATTAAAGTGCGCGAAATATATTTATAAGATGCATTTATTATATTTTATTAATAAATACAAAAAATTTAATGTGCGTCGCGAAACCAATTAAAGTGCGTGAAATACCATTCTAAGATGCGTTTATTATATTTTATTAAAAAAAAAACAAGTAGAATATGCGTTAATGATAACATAATAGATCACATAATAGACATAAAATGATAATATATAAATTTTATTAATTCATAAATTGTATGACGAAAATAACAACAAGTAATCACATAATACGCATAAAAATCTTGATATTTTCGTCAATATTCATCCTTATTACGCAGCCTCCTCATTGATTACATCCTCATTAGCCAAGTTTCCAACAGGAGCGTCAGGAACCTGTTCATCCATCAAATCGTGAAAAGTTACTAAACTGTAAATACATAAATAAAATTATATTAAAAAAAAAAGGGAAAAACAATGTAAGTATGCAGTAGATCACCTCTTGATCGAAATCATAATCTTCTCGGTCATAAGCATATGTTGGGAACTCAGCATCGTCTTTCAGTAATATAGCACCAGTTCTCTCACAGAACATCAGCATATACCAGAGACTAGAGGTCTTGTTTCTGTAGGTACTATAGGCCACCTCAAATCTAATGAGTATATAAGCTTTTCCTTCCACGAATCTGTTGCCGCGCCTTTCCGCAAACGGTTGTGGAATGTGCATATGAATAAAAGTCCCCTGAAATTATTAAAAAAAAAACATATGCATCAACAGTAAATTTTATAAATATAAAATATTACTCCGTAAGATTTATATTACACTAAACAAAAATAATACCTCTACATCGTGAAGTACACACTCTATAGATCAGATTCTTTCAGAACCTTTGGTTTCTGGCAAACGAACGACTCGTAGCACTCGAACCCTAATTGAATTCCAGCGCAGTCCTATTCGGATTTGGTTTCCAACTACTTCGGTGTGGGGTTCGACTGCCATTGAAACTCTCTTTACAAGGTAGAGTAGAAAAGCAAAAATATGTTTGAAGGAGACAGGTTTGAGTCGAGAATAATTTTGGATTTAAATAGCAAGTTCTTAAACGAATGCGACTGTTCGTATGTGACAACTTTAGGTCTAGCAAAATGCGACTGTTGATATGAAAATGTTCGACCGGGTATTATTAAACGGAAGTGCGTCAATTTATTCACTAATATGCGCAACTTAAGCCCGTTATTATGAGTGTTATTGCTACTTTACCTACGTGAAGTTAATTCTTAATATGCGTTGATTACACTTTTAAAGTGAGCTACATTAAACCTTAATATGCGTAATACAGAAACAGAATGTGCGTTGGTTTATGTATAGAAACTTTGGTCCGTGGTAAATGCCAACGTCTTCAAATGCGTCGATTAACATTTAACTTGCGCGACATTAAAGGTTAATATGCGTACAAAGACAATATTTAACTCTTTCTTTCTCTAATATGCGTTTAATTATTAGTTAATATAATGTGCGTTAAAGATAAGTATAATATGCGCGACTGCAAAACTTAAAGTGTGTTCGTTGAATTATGAAATAATTTGCAGGCAAAATGATACATACATAAACGATTGCACATATTTATTTCTTCTAGTACTTTGAAGACATTTCTTCTCGTTCCAGCAGCATCCCACACATCACCAGCCACCCACAATTGCTCAACTCTAAGCCTTTTGGTGTTGTTTGGAAACTAGATGATGAGCTCGAAGCTGAGAATGACAAATGACGCTTCAGGTTTAGAATGTGTTGTTTTTGTATTTAGTTAAAGTCACTGCAAGCTGGAGAGCGATGAAGATGAAAATGCCAGAGAAGATGAAGAATAAATGAAGAGGATTCTTCTCTACTTGCGGAAAAGTGAGAGATAGCCATTTCAATGACCTGATGCTCGGTTGTGTGTTGTTCCTTGTAATAATTTATATATAGGTGAATAACTTGGTCACATGCACTGATTTGAGATTTGAATGTTGCGTGATTTACAGACACATTAGATTTTTCAAGATTTGCTTTAATGAGTGCGTTTTTTAAGACATTGAATGACCATTCAATCTTATCCGTTTCCCCCAACCAACTACAAATGCCTTAAAGTTCTGACATCAAATATCTTTGAATATTACGTGGGTTAGTATAAAAGACTTAATATGCTTTGCTTTGATCTGTTACATGCGCGACCTACAAGAACAACATGCGTGAAATATCAGTTAAAGTGCGCGAAATATATAAATTTAATCAATTTGCATCGAAATAAATGATTTTTTAGAGCCAAAAGTTTAATGGGCGTTGGGAGACCAATTAAAGTGCGCGAAATATCAGTCTAATATGCGTGTGTTATATTTTATTAAACAAAAAACAAGTACGGAGTAAAAATATAATAAAAACTTCAAGTCTTTACAGGGGTTCGATCCTGGGCGAAATCATTTTAATCAAAAACTCCCACCATTTCACCAATGAGCTCATCCGTTACTTTGATTACAATACATTATTAATAACAACAACAGAGGCAGACATGATAGCTTGTTTTTAATATGCGTAACGCGTATACGTAATGTGCGTTGGTTTATTTATAAAATCTTTGGTCCGTCGTAAACACCAAAGTCTTTAGATGCGTTGATTACCGGCCAAAAATATTTTAAGTCTTTTGGGGGGGGATTCGATATATTCAAAGACTTCTACCATTTCGCTAGTAGGCTCACCCGTTTATTCCTTGTATACCAAAATATATGTTGCCTACTTACTAATCAAGAATTTAAAAGGAAGCAATAAACCTCTATTTAATTCTTAATATGCGTTGATTTACACTTTAAAGGTGCACTACATTGCGGCTTATATATGCGTAACACGTAAACGTAATGTGCGTTGGTCTATGTATAAAAACGTAATTACTCAGAGATTGCGTTGAAAATTAGCCTAGAATGCGCGATTGCAAAACTTAAAGTGCGTTTGTTTGATTATGAAATAATTTGCATTTAAAATGAACATACATGCTTTGAATTTAACATGCGCGACATATCAATTTAAAATGCGTGATATTGTAACACAATGAGAGTTGGTTTCTATATTAATAAAAATAATAATTTACACTCTAATACATTAGTATTTGTAAATGTAAATACACATTGAAACAACACCAATAACATTCAGTGCATCTTTCCTAGTGCTTTGAAGGCATTTCTTCTAGTTCTGGCATCATCCGACATGCTGCCAGCCTACCACAAGCCTTGAAAACCTCGATTTGGACATGAGCAAGGAGTGTGGATGCATGTAGGCTCGTGGTCTCTAAGCTTGCTGTGTATGATAGATTCCTGACAGCCGTAGGTGTTATTTGGGATGTCGGATGTCCTCAACTCTCTCAGCCTTGAATGATGTTTCGTTGCAGCATGGCGAGCTTGCAGCTGAGGACGACGAGTTTTCTCTCAGGTTTAGAATGTGTTGTCTTTGTATTTCTTTACAATCACTACAATCTGGAGGGCGAGGAGGGTGAAGAGGGCATGCAAGATGAGGAATAAAAGGAGATGGTTCTACTGAACGTAGGGAGACGTGAGAGGTGACCATTTCAATGAAAACTGATGCTCGATTGTGTGTTGTTCTTTCCAATTTATAGGCGAATAACTTGGTCCAATGAACTGATTTGAAAATTTCAATGTTGCGTTAATGGGGGCGTTTTTTAAGGCATTGAATAACCGTTCAATGTTATCCGTCTCTCCAACTACCAATGCCTTAAAATTCTGACATAAATTTACTTCGAATATTGCGTGGATTGTTATAAAACACTTAATGTGCTTTGCTTTGCTCTGTTACATGCGTTGAGGACAGATACAATATGCGTTCAAATATACGTTTAATACTTTAATTAACTTTTATCGAAAAACGATATTTTTGAACCCAAAAGTTTAGAGTGCGTGGGGAAACCAATTTAAGAGCGCGAAATATCACTTTAACATGCGTTTATTGTATTTTGTTAAACCAAAAACAAATAAAATATAATAAAAAGGTTAAGCCTTTAGGGGTTTGATCTTGCGCGAAATCGGTTTGATCAAAGACTTCTACCATTTCGCCAGTAAGCTCATCCGATGAATTAATTATATTAAACAATTCTTAAAGAGCCAATTCTTGAAAATTAAAAACAAAGAAAAAAGCTTGACATGCGCAATACGTACGCTCAATATGCGTAATACTGCAACAAAATTTGCATTTCGTTATCTACTTAAACTATAGTCCATGGCAAATAAAAAAAAAACTTAATTAACATGCGCAATACAGTAACATAATGTGCATTTTATTATTATTATTATTATTATTATTATTATTTTTAACGTATTGAATGACCAGTCAACTTTAGAAAACTTTATTGTTCATTAATTTGCTCATG